GGTTTTGGGTAAATATAAATTAAGGCCCTAGCGGATGATAAAAAGGGGCCGAGACAGACTTAAGAAGAAGGAAGCCCTTAGCTTCACCGTCTTCTTCTCCTTCTCGTACTTATTCATTCGAATCGGCCGTTTCTTCTTCCAATCTCTCCTCTCCGATGGACGAAGACGATGAGTTCGGAGATCTGTATTCCGATGTTCTTCAGCCCTTCCAATCTCCCGTTGTTCTTCCGCCTCCTCCTCGCCGTTCAATCGACCTTAACCTTCGATCTCAAGATCAAGACGGAGCAGAACCTAATTCAGCTTCCGTCTCTAGGGTTTCCGACAACGACGCCTCTAAATTATCCGCGACTCGTCAAGCAATTGGCGATGGTGTCGGCGAGGACATGAAGTTTGATATCGAAGAACCCGATGCCGATTCTACACCTGCGATTCCTGGTCTTTTCGTCGCGGCTTCTGAAGCTGGAGCGATTCCTGGTTTGGCTACAGATCGAGGTGTTTTGCGTGATACGACAAAAATTGAGCAGGTTGGTGATGGAGGATACGGAGGACAAGGAGGAGAAGGAGATGATTGGGATAGCGACAGTGAAGACGATTTGCAGATAGTGTTGAATGATAGTAGCCGTAACGTCATGATCGGAGCTGATAGAAGATCAAGGATGGGAGATAACGAAGATGACGATGACGAAGATGATGAAGAACCACTTGTTATAGTGGCGGACGCTGACCCAAATCAACCTATGGAGGAGCAGCTATGGGGAGAAGATGGTCTTCAAGGGGTTGATGGAGATGGCAAAGAAGGAGGAGAAGCTGGGAAAGGGAGTGGACCAGGAGGTGCTACTGGACCGCCCAAAGCTGGTTATAGCGGTCATGGGTATCATCCGTTTCATTCTCAGTTTAAGGTCAGTGTCAATGCAACACTGTTGTCACTGGTTAGATTACTTAGTGACCAGGGTTCTTGTCTTGGCCCTGTTTTAGTTTTCATAAATTCTGAGTGCATATCTCCTTTGTACTTGTACCTAAACCTGAATTCAAATGCAGAATATATTGATCATATAAATTGGATACTGCTTCTAGTTTTTGATTCTACATCTCCTTACTGTTTTATTAACCAAATTCCGGGTGTTTGTGTCCTAAATAAGAATGTGAAAGGGAGATAAGAACATAATCACTTTCCTCTCTTGTATATGAGTATATCGCAATCCTATGCCACCACCAATTACTCTGTCCAGGAGTGGTTGTAAACTCTAACCTTTGAAATTGAACAAGAGGACTGTAAGAAGAAGAACAATCTCTTGGGACCCTTAACTATTACTTTATGAAGCCAACATCCCGTCAAGGAATTTCATATTTTCTTTTGGATTAGTCATACCAAAGTTACTGAGTATTCACACTGAGAAAAAAATAAGGGTTGTATGGATCTACTTGACATAATTATCTTTCTCTTGCAGTATGTAAGACCAGGGGCAGCCCCCATACCTGGAGCTGCTGCATCTACTGGTGGGACCTCCTCAGGTCAAATTCGTCCACCCGCCAACCTTGGTCCTATGGCTGGCCGTGGCAGAGGAGATTGGCGTCCACCGGGAATGAGGAATGCTTCTGCTACACAGAAAGGCTTCCACCAGCCTTGGGGTAGTAATACAGCAGGGCGGGGACTGGACTTTACTCTTCCCTCTCACAAGTAACTTTTTATATGTTTGGAACTGTGGAGATTTCAGTATTAAAGGCTCATGTCATTACATATGCATATCACTCTTTTTTACATATGCATTAACTTTTTACCAAGTTTTGGATACTACAGGTCTGTGTTTTTTTATCTGATGTCTAATCTCGCATGTTTTAGGACTATATTTGAGGTCGACATAGAGACATTTGAGGAAAAGCCCTGGAGATATCAAGGAGTTGATATCTCAGACTACTTCAATTTTGGACTGAATGAGGAGAGCTGGAAAGACTATTGTAAACAGCTGGTAAATTAATAACTGTGATTCATATCCTTATTTCAGCAAATGAAGTGTACTAAGCTGAATATCTTTCAATTTCATACAGGATCAACACCGTATAGAGACGACAATGCAAAGCAGAATACGTGTTTATGAAAGCGGTAGAACAGATCAGGTAAATTGGAACTTGGCTTTTATTGTGGCACTTAAGAGCTGATTATTCTTTGCATTCGGATAAATTTTGTTAACTACATCATATACAAGGGTGACAATGTATTCCTAATCTTTCTCTTGTAAAATGATAGGGTTATGATCCAGATCTGCCCCCAGAGTTGGTTGCAGCAACAGGGGCGCAGGGTGTTCCTGTTGATTCTTCAAATTTAGTGAAGCCAGACACTGCTCAAGGTGATTTGGCTACAGTACCAGCTCATGTACGACCTTCACTAGTATGTTTCCTCCTGCCTTTGCTCTCATTTAAAGTAGCATTGTCAATATGTGGTTCACTGTATTGTCCATCACAACTGGAACACTGTGGCTGAATATTTTTCTTGTTAGTCTTTAAAGTTTGAGAATATTGGTTGAATTTGTTTTCTCTCAGCCCCCCGGAAGACCAATACCTGTGGAGACTGGTTCGGGTGAGCGTATGCCATCCATTGATACACGTGCTCCTCGAATGCGTGATCTAGATGCTATCATTGAGGTTGAACATGTCTCAAATCTCTATTGATTTTTTTTTTTTCTGGTGATGCGTCTTTGCATGCCGTATACTGACTGCTACTTACTGACATTGATTTTGTTGCCAGATTGTATGTCAGCCTTCTCCCGAGGATGAGCCCTCGGGTGAAAATGGCACAGAACAAGCTGATAGTAGCCTTCCTGGAGAAAATGTCCCAGTCGAGACTGATTATGTTAACAGCAGGAGACCAGACACGGAATCTGCTGAACGCAGTCCTGCCCAGGATGAGCCATGTAAGAAGCTTCTCAAAAAGCAAGATGATGAGGTCTCTAGAAGCACGGATAGTGGCCAGAGTTTCCGTTCATCATCTCCTGTTGGAGACAGAGGCACAAGGTCATCAAGTGTTGATCGTGAAGATACGGGAGGTGAAGCTGGCAAAGATGTTGAGATGGATGAAGAGTATAAAATGAGTTCTGCAGTCCCTCAGTCAGCAGTTCAAGAAGATGATGGAGGGGAATCAAAGACGGAGAGAAGTAGTGAAAGCAGCAAAGCAAGATCGGGAAGTCGCAGAGATTATCAGCAATCGAAGGATGGTGCAGAAGAGGAAGTTATTCAAGATAAGCATTATGCTCGACCAGCTAGTGATAAGAAACATCACGATAACAATGCACCGCATCAGAGCAGAAAGAATCAGGACAGAGGGAAGGAAATGGAAAGAACTCGAGCGGCTAGCAAAGGTGGTAGGGAGAACTCAAATCCTCATGTGGAGTTTGATTCTAGCTATATTCACTCAACTGCAAGGGCTGAGGATTTTGATAGAAGGAAAGAGCGAGATGTTGATATGGGTGTCTGGCGCAAGAAAGAGGATGAGCCATACAGTAGAAGAGGGGATGAAGGGTCTAGAAAAAGGGATCGTGAAGATGACCTGGGCTCTAGACAGAGGGGTAAAATGCGAGAAGGTGAAATACGCAGCAAAGATGAGCATGTTCCTTCGAGAAAGCATTTGGATGATGGTGGTTTGCGAAATAGTTATGAAGTGGATGATCACATTAGCAAGAGGAGGAAGGATGAAGAATACTTGAGAAGAAGCCGCTCTGAAAAAAATGAAATCCCATATGGTCAAAGAGAATCAATCAGCCGCCTGAAACGAGAACGGGATGATAGGTTGGAGCATCAAAAGAGAGATGTCCAACATAAAATCAGAGATGATTTTGACGAACACAATTCTCTCAGGCACAGAGATGATTTCTATATGCAGAGAGATGGAAACGAGAGGCTGAGAGAGCGTGAGGATTTTGATAGACTGAAGTTAGCTCACGAGGATGGTTTATCTGCAAGAGGAAGGGAGAGGCAGGTGGCTGCAAGGGGCCATAGAGGTGCAGAAGATCGATCATCAAGGATGAAGGATGAGTATAAAGTTTCTGAAAAAGAGCAACTAACTAAAGATACAGCAAGGCATAATAAACAGACGAAGAGAAGGGAATACCCTGGTGAAGAAAGTTCTTCCCATCATAGAGGACATGAAGATTTCTCAGCACGAACTGACACCATTGTTAACAATGAGAAAAAGCCAAGGCAGGAGAGGGCAGGTGGTAAAAGTGACAAGGTTACTGATTCTTTGGATGGCCAGCGATTGC